TGTCATTTAGTCGTCGTAAATCGCATGATTGAGCAAAATACCGACTACCGATTCAATCCGTCGCTGCAGCTGGCGTGCGGGAAAAATATCGATCGTTATTGCTCGCATATTGTGGCAACGGCACAGCCGAATGAAGAGTTGAACGGCATGGTAAATTTTAGCAGATGATAAACACTGCATTGTTATAATTATTATTTCGCATCACATCGTATGTATTTTAGGTCATACAATGCTTAAAAGACAAATTCCGCGAATCCCGTTTGGATTATGATTGCACGCAAGAAATGATCAAAATACTGCAGGAACAAGCCTTAAACTACAAGCTAAACCCACTGCTGCAGAACTTCTGCAAATCTGAAATAGAAGTACTTTGCAAGGCGAATCAACAAAGCCGGGAGCATGGCATGGTTGAGGAATGTTTAAAAACGGCTTTCCTTAATCACAAAATTATAAATCGTGATTGTCGCGTTGAAGTTGCTACGTTGATAGCTGAAGCCAAGGCCGACATTCACGTAGATCCTGTACTGCAGGAGGCGTGCACTGTAGATTTGCTACGTTATTGTTCGAATGTGCAAAGTGGAAATGGACGAAGTAAGCTGACAAGCAAATTAATGATATACTATAGATCGCTTTGTATATTTTCCTAACGCATTGCTATTGCAGAATTAAGATGTTTACAAGTCTTACTGAAAGACCAGTCAAAGGCCATGGACCAGGATTGTCGTATGAAGTTACAGAAACGTATAGAAATGTTCCGCAATGCAGATACGGTAAAAGTAATAATTTTTTTTGTACATTTTAAATTATTACATTACGAAATTGCAGGTGCTCGCTCAACCTCCGGAAAATATGGAAGAGCTCGTTAGTCAAGTTGTCGCGTCGCCAGCGAAAAGATTCTTCTTTATTGTTTTAATATTTTCCATCGGAATGTTCTTCTTAATGGGTATTTTCCTTGGACGTATAACTAAACGTGCAATCAATATTAAAAATAAATAAACGTCCAATAGAATAGGAAAAATGTGTGACACAACAATCATATTTGCTTCCACCTTCCTTCAATTCCATAAAAACTAAAAACCCCCGTTCCATTATCTTTTGCCACGCGCATTTGTAATTTCAATTTGCAAAATTTTTCATATTCAATCCTCTTTTACCTTTCCGATTCTTATCGCAATAACTTCTTAACTTATGCACTTAGTTGGAACTAAGTACAGGAAAATTGTTAATCGAATTCGTTTCAGTATGCAAAGTGAATATCTTTAAGTTCTTTTATTGTAAAAGCTTTTCTGAATATATTTTTTATATGTATAGCAGAATGCTTAACAGAAATGTAGAATATATTGTTAAATGTGCTTAGTATAATAGAATACGATAGTCAAGGCTTTACATTAATAAATACTTTTTTATAAATTTTAAAATTGCTTACCTCAATTACGAAATCAATTTATGTTGTTTATAGAAAATGGTCAAGATTTGGGACCAATTTAGGATTTGAAACATTGAATATGCGCTTTATAGATTATAAAGTGCAACGCTCAAAAAGTGAGGGGGATGAAATGCAATAATTTGCATTTACTTTAGGGGGGGCGCGCGGTGGTTAAAGTATAAACACCTAAGGATTTGTAAGGTTATCTGTTCGTCAGAATATTTTTTTTTTGTATGTATGTTACCGCATAACTTTGGACCACGTTAACCGATTTCTATAATTTTTTTAAAGGAAAGGTGTTACCTCACAGGTGGTACCATTCAAATTTGGTTTAAATCCGATCATTGGTCATGAAGAAATTAACGATAATCTTAAATTTTTGTATGAGAATCGAATTTTTTTTTGCTTAAAAATTACTTGTATTATATCGATTTGAAGTTGTAGATAAAAAATGCAATGCTCCAGATTAATCTTTTTTTTAGGAAAGTTTTATAATGAAGTGCACTTTTCAGGTGTTTAATTTTTTTTGCTGACATTTCGAGCGCACTTTAGTTTTTAGTATGGTGTTTTTTTTGTAATTTAAAGCTACTTCCTAATTTTGTATAAGAAGAACTAATTGGCTAGCAAAATCGTATGGTGTTATGTGGAAGAAACTACCAGAAAAAAAATATTAAAAATCAATGGGTTATAAAATTGCATACCTAAAATTTTTCTAGAATTAAGAAAAGTTGTAAGTTTAATTTTTGGCGACATGGCAACATGCATGGCTTTGACAGCTGTCAAATTATTTTCTCATTTTTAGTTCCCTATTTTATTGCCATTTTCACTTTGGCTTCCTTGTTCGTGATTTTTTTCGGAATTTTAGCTTGGTTTTGTTTGTCGTTCAAAAATATAAAAAGTTTGGTGAAAATATCAATAATCCAGCTGAAAGGGCATAATTAATTAAATAAAACGGCGTGTGTATAAAGTATAAATTTTATGAGTGTACAAAAGGAAAAATAGTGTTCTGAAATAAATTGAAAGGGTACGGGCTAAAAAATAGCATAGAAATTGGGTATTCGTGGAAAAGAAAAAAAGTTGCGAAAATAACATTTTCGGCTTTCCAAGCAACAGTGGTGTTGCACAAAATTTGAAGCAATCACTGAGTGTCGACGTTTTAGCAGCATTGGCTGCCTATAACGATTAAAAGAAATGGGCTACGATTTGCATCGCTTTCAGGGCGAAGTCGACGAAGAACTCACTTGCCCCATATGTTCCGGCGTGCTGGAGGAGCCGCTACAGGTCAGTAACCGCTAACAGAAGCCATTACTTGAGGGAGTTAAGCAATTTTACACAGCATGAATTACACTACTAGCTAAGAATGCGGCTAAGATTTATTTCATTGATTGTCTTTTCATTTATCTTCATAGGCGGCAATGTGTGAACACGCCTTTTGCCGTGCGTGCATCAATGAATGGCTCACGCGCCAGCCCACCTGCCCAGTCGACCGCAACACATTAAACACTGCAAATCTGCGCGCTGTGCCGCGCATACTTCGCAATCTACTTTCACGGTAAGTATGGCGACGCCCAACCGAAAGTAAATCGTATACATGCATATCTGTAACTTATGAAAGTTCCATATGCATATTGCACATTCCTCTAGACTTTCCATTACCTGTGACAACGCACCATATGGTTGCACCCTAGTACTCAAGCTGGACGCACTCAATTCACATTTGGAAGAATGTGAACATAACCCCAAACGTCCATTGCCATGCGAAAAAGGTTGCGGCTTCGTCATACCCAAGGATGAACTAAAGGATCACAACTGTTTGCGCGAATTGCGTTCTAT